TTTCTGTTTGCTTGTTTTGGTTTGCTTTCCTTTTTCTTTTCTCCCCACCCCCAGACAGGGTTTCTCTGTAGCTTTGGAGCCTGACCTGGAACTAGCTCTGTAGACCAGGCTGGCCTCCAACTCATAGAGATCTGCCTGTCTTTGCCTTCCTAGTACTGCGATTAAAGGTGTGCTCCACCACCGCCCACCTGGCTAGGAACTCAAGTTTAAGGCCAGCCTAGACTACATAGTGAGACTTTGTCTCCAAAGGGGGGGGGGATGTAGAGCCCAAGGGGAAGGGACAGGCCTAAAAGCACTCTCCAGGACTAAGTTAGAGTTGATACCAAATTCCAAGCCCTATGAACACCACTGTACTCCAACACACTACCTGATACCTAGCCTGGACTCCAGAAAGCGCTTGGTACACATAACTCCTGGGTCCTTTCCGAGAACCATATAAACCGGGCCCTGGTGAGTAAGGACAGTGAGATGATTTGGTCTGAGATGTCTCCCATAAACGCATTCCTTAAACGCTAAGCTAGCCCCGATGGCCTCAAAAAGGCCCTGCTGATCAAGGAAGACACACTGGGCAAACAAGGAGATTGCATCCTCCAATAAAGAGATTTAGGCTCAGAGGGTCAGAGGGTAAGAGTACTGGCTCCTCTTCCAGAGGTCCCGAGTTCAATTCCCAACAACCACATGGTGGATCCCAACCTGGTGTCTTCCTTGCCAGCAGCACATTGTATGCTTAATAAATAAATAAATCTTTAAAAGAAAAAAAAAGAGAGAGAGAGAGAGAGATTTAGGTTTAGCCGGGCAGTTGTGGTGCACGCCTTTAATGGCAGCACTCAGAGGCAGAGATAGATTGGAGGATCTCTGTGAGTTCGAGGTCAGCCTGGTCTACAGAGCAAGTTCTAGGATAAGCTCCAAAGCTACAGAGAAACCTTGTCTCAAAAACCCAAAAGAAAAGAGGGAGGGAGGGAGGGAGGGAGGGAGGGAGAGAGAGAGAGAGAGAGAGAGAGAGAGAGAGAGAGAGAGAGAGAGAGAGAGAGAGAGAGAGAGAGAGAAAGAGAGAAAGAGAGAGAGAGAGAGAAGGCTGGGCTCACAGAAGCCTTCCACCTGGCGGCAAGGGTCCTCACAGTTCTCAAGCCTTGGTTTCCCCATTTCTACTAGAAAGCTTGCAAGAGCTAAGTCACAGGTCACACATCGTTAAGAACTACAGTGGAGCTGGGTGTGGTGGCTTAGTTTTCTAAGCCTGGCACTCAGGAGGCTGAGGCAGGAAGGTCCTCATGAGTCTGAGACCAGAAGGGTCTGGTAGAGTGATGTGTTGTCTCAAACCAAACAAGAATGACAGTGAGGACAGACAAGGCTCACCACGACCTCCACTACCTACAACACAGTCCCCTGGAGAAAGACTGAGAAGAGCCGAAGGAAAGCCTTATGCACCAAAGAAGGAAACCCAGGGCAGCTATCCTCAGCTGGGCACGCCCAAGGTTTAAGCCAGCTCCTCTTCTTCACTTCCCCTGAAACCTCAGCTGAACATCTTGGAAAAGCCATAGAGAGGAGGGATGAGGGGGCTCCCCAGGTGCTCCTAGGTGAGGGACAGAGAGGTAGGTGGAAGGGCAACCAGACGCAACCAGAGCACGCTCCTGTGCTTGGGAGAAGACTCCGGAGCAGCGGGAATAAACAAGTTGGTCCAAAGCTCATCTGCTGGCCAGCCAGAGGCCCCATCCTATCAGGACAGATAATTAAAAGGTTGACTTTTATACCTGCCTATATGACAGGTGGGGCACCTCCCAGGATATGGAAGTGGCCTGCTCACCCCCTTCAGGAAAAACAGACCGTGTAAGCTACTGAGGACACAGCTCAGCCTTGCAAGGAAAAGTGTCCCTAGAGACTGTGAGCAGCAGCTGAACCCTTGGACATTAACAAGGGTAGGAGTGCCTGAAAGGAGAGGCTGCTCTGCCCTCTGAGCCAGGCACAAGGTCTCCAGGGTGGACTGTGAGCTCTTAAAGAAAAGGAGAAGTATGGACCCTGCCCCCCTGGCACCCACTTCCCTGTCTGTAAAATAAGGGCTGGAGGAGGCAATCTCCTCTGGCCGAAATAGGATTTTTTTTTTTACAAGGCCTGACATTAAACCACTCATTCCAGTGCAGCCTAGGAGTCCTCCCTGCACGGATACTGCTCCAAACATTTGGAACAGAGTTCAAGTCTTTTTCCCAACACCCCCAGCCCTCTTCGTCAGGAAATTCATAGACAAGTCACCATCCGCCAGTACAGAAGCGCTGCCCTCCAGCCTCTGAATGTCAGGAACAGGACTCCTGGTGCCCGTTCACAATGTCTCCGATGCCACTCAGACAACTCCTGCGTTCACAATAAACAAAACACAGTAAAGGGGATGGGGGGGGGGTGTCACTATCTCAACAGTTGTTTAGTTAAAGGTACGGCCACTAGGGGGCACTGCCTTGAAAGTAACGAAGCAACAGAAAAACTCTTTCTGGTGTTTTCCTTCTTAAGCTTCAGCTACAAAGCATCTAAGGCTATACTAATAAAAAAAAAAAAAAAAAACACACATTCCTGGACTGCTAGAAGGGCCCGGGGACCTTCTGCCATCTCTCTGAAGCAATACTGGGGCAAAGGAAGGCAACTAGACCTCGAATTCACAACCCTTCCTGAGAAATGAAGGCTTGATGAACATTTTCCTGCAATGGGCTGACACCCTGGGGTGCCCTGGGTCCCCCTGGCCTCTTTAAAAACAGGAGAGCCCAGGAGAAGAGCTAGCCAAACTGCAAGTCAGGCAGTGAGTACTTAACCCTTAAGCTTCAGCTAGGACTGTTTTGCTGCAGCCTACTAATTTCAGAGTAAAACAGGCCAGGTCAAGGCCAAGCCTCAGGTGTAGATGAAGGGTGACCCCTCCTGCTATCAATAAACAAGGTACAAGGGATGAACTGAGATTTCCCAAGAATTATATGGCAGCAGGGGGAGCTCTGGTCCCCTCACATCAGAACTGGACTTCCAGAACATGTCAGAGGGGCTTCTCCAAAATTCTCTGCCCTCTAGGGCATCGTCTCACAGTGTGTTTATTTACCGTACAAACGTCCAACTGTCCTTTCAAAAAAATGGTCCATAAGCCCTGGGCTTTTCCAAAGCTCTGGCTCTGAGTTCCTCTTGATTTCCTTGTGAATTCTGGGATGCACTGAATGCCCGGCCGGCCATGAAAAGCCTGCTTTCTCCTAAGAGGCCTGTCTGGGAGACTCCTCCAAAACCACAAGGAGACCAAGGGGTGCAGAACCAGGGCCCCCTTATAAACAGGCACATCCCATCCTGGGGGAGGGGGGAGCAGCAAGCTCTTGGACAGCTATGAGGGGCAAAGTAATGCTGCCAGGCCTGCCTCTCTGTGCCAGCCCAGACTGCTACTCACCTCTGTACACCAAGGGATAAGGAATACCAACTGCTCAATTCTCGATTCGGGAGCCCACCAGAAATAAAAGTACAACTGAAGTCCATTTTCAAAAGTCAAATCTACCAAGTGGAAACATGATTTAACAAAGGGCTTCCGCCCCGAGTTTGCAGAGGGCTTCGGGGACTGGATTCTCTTAGGCTATTTTTTTTTTTTTTTGTAAGGAGGCTGTGACCAACGGCTATTCAGAGAGGCAAGGCACACCTGACTCAAGGCACTCTGCACCTCTGTAATGTATTAAGAACAAGATCAAAATCCCAGGTCTCTGCGACCGAAGCACCGATACAGTGAGAACTAGGCTGTCAGCCCAGAGGGCAGAGGACAATTCTACCGTCCACGGGTCCACCCATCACTCTCTATGCTCTGCCACTCGTTAGCCCTGGGACCACGGGCAGGTACCCCACCTCTCTGTTGATGGGTGTCCCTCTTCTCAGACACGTGGCCCAGAATCACCACCCTGGCTGATTTGCAAGACTACTGCGAGGCTCTAATGAGACAGCAAATCAACACAGACAAGCCAAGTATCGCTACTCATTTCAACTGGGTTTAAACCGGGTGATATGCAATGACAGCTTCAGGAGCTGTGCACACGCGAGGCACGTAGTAGGCTCCACACAAACGCGGGTACGCTGATCTGCTAAAGGGAAGGAAAGGAAGGAAGAAAAACACACCGGTCCAAAAAGTACCCTCAAGCCTCTGACTGACGGCGTGGACTCCCCGATTTCCCGGGTTCCGCCGCCCTGGACGATCGGGGAGCTCCCGGCACGACCCCAGTGCACCTGAGAGCCCCGATCCGAGTCCATCGCCCACAGCGGCCACGCTCCCCTCGGACACAGCCCGCGGCCCCCCGCGGTCCCCCGGCTGCTCGGAACCAGCCTCCGCGCGCACCGCTCCTTCCCGGGTCGCCGTCGCCTGCCCCGCGCCCGCCGAGAGCAGCCGGGCTCCGGCGGCGAGGGGTCCCCCGAGCCGCGTCCCTCCTCACCTGCACAGCTCTGCGAAGGCCTGGAAATTGAGCTTCTTGACTTTCTTCTCGCTCAGCCAGTAGCCAACTCTCTTCCCTTTCAGGAAGGTCTGCATCTTCTTCCTCCTCGGCCCGGGAGCCTGGGTCCGGAGGAAATCGCCCACAGGCCGAGCGTGTGGGGCCGGCGCGCGCCGCGAGCGTGCGGGCACCTCCTCCGGCGGCGGGGACGCGGAGCGGGCTATAGCGCGCGGTCCTACCGGGCGGGGCGGCGGGCGGGGCGGGCCGGGGCGGGGCAGTGGCCGGGGGCGGAGGCTCAGCGCGCCGCGCCACTGGCTGGGCCCGGCGGGTGGGCGCGCACCGTCGCCGCCCCGCCCCCTCCGCCCCGGGGGGCTCGCCTGCGCCGGGACGTGCGCCCCGCAGCACCGCGCGCCGCCTGAGGGCTCCAGGGATCCGGGGCCGCGGCCCGTGACCGCACCCGTGCCTCGAGCCCGAGGAGGAGCACGCCCTCCCGCGGCGCCGGCTCCCCCCCCTGCGCGTGCCTCTGGGGCGCGCGTGGATCCCACGGGGCGCGCGCCGCCGCGTCCCCCGCCCTCCGTGCCCCGGTGCTCGCGCACACGCGGGGGCCTGGAGCAGAGCTCCCGAAGGAGGAAGCACGAGGGGCCGCCAGGGGGAGCCGCTGAGTCTTAAAGGCGCCGCCGCTAGTGGCGGGGTGCTGGATGGTGGCCAGTACAGAGTGCGGGGTGAGGGAGTCGTGGTGTGGGCGCCTTGTGTATGTCTTGGAGGGTGGCCAAAACCCACTGGGCGTCGTTGTTCCTTGGCAGCCCAGGGGGATTGCCCCGGAGGCAATTCGTTGCAATTGTCCTGTAATATTTCCACAGCTGACTCAGGTTCACACTCTGGGATGCCCTATAACCAACCGAGAGAGAAGAGGGACTGGGACTCCATGCAAGAGTGCACGGAGCATCTTCAGGAGGGGCTTTTCTTTGCCAGTTGAAGGGGCATCGATCGACTTCTGTCTCAATCCCTGGATTCTCTGAGCCACCTACCCTGCCCCTGTCCATGAGGTAACATTCCAGCCATCAGAATGCTTCAGGCATAGGAAAGAGAAATTAAGGCTCTTCCCAGACACATGGGTTTCCCTTGGCGTGGGTGAGGAGAGACACTTTTAGGCTTTGGAAATAAAGGCAATTTTTTGAATGTCTGAGATGATTAAAATGCTTGGATTGAAGACAGAGAAGTGAAAGTTGTTAGTAGAAAGGCAGAAATGGGCCTTGACGGGACTGGAATCAGATTGAGTCCTCCGTGTAGAGCCTGACCTTGGGCGGTGTCCTTGTACCCCCCCCCCTTGGTTCAGTTTTAGCAAGAATCCTGCTGAGTCAGAAAAGTTCTCCAACCTCGGTATCAGATCACCTCGGCCTGCCTACAGTAAGAATCCTGTCAGTGGGGCTGAGGAGATGATGGCTCAGATGGTAAAGGCACTTTGGCTAAACCTGACAACCAGGGTTCAGTTCCTCAGGACTCACAGGGTAGGAGAGAACCAACTCCCATGTTCTCCTCTGACCTACTCTCATGTGGTAACACACACACACAAATAAATGTAAATAATAATAATAATAATCCCATCAAGTAAATTGAACCAGAATCCCGGGAGCCCTGAGGCTTTTGCTCGGTAATTCTCTGCCCACAGATGCCCCATTCTGCTCCCTGGCAGTGACTTCCCTCCTTTGCATTTAGCCAGAGTGGAGCTGGGGTGTTCCCCTGCTGTGAGATCTGGGTGCTTCTTAAATAAAGTCTAGTGGGTTTAATTTTTCTTTAATAGGAGAAAGGGACGGGAGAGGGTTAGAAGCAGGGTGGTCCTGGAAAACAGGGACTGTGTATCCTGGACCAAGGGAGCCAGAGGGCCAGGGGTGACAGCTTCAAGGTTCAGCTCCGAGTCTCAAGAAGGTTGTTTCTGCGGAACATCGTGGCCAGCCTCGGACTGAAAGAAGAAATGGGGACAGGAAGTCCGAGGCAGTGAAAGAAAGGACTAGGGAGCAAACACACGGGCAACAGTAAAGGGTCTCCCTGCTGAAGTCACCATGGTGCAGGCTGAGTTTCTGAGGAGCCCCGCATCTGAGTGGTTCAGGGTGCTCGCTGGAGTTCCTTCCTGTCCTCAGCAGAAGCAGGGAATCCAGGGTGTGGCGGGGTAGTGCTGTCCTTGGAGTCCAGAGATGAGTAAGGCAGAGGCACACAAGCTGTCGACTCCTGGAGCATGTGATGAGGGCCGTGTGAGAGATACAAGGCACAGGGCAGTCTGTCCTCTTTGCTGAGTGACTTGAAACTGTGACATTGGAAGACGGGAAGAGTAGGAGTTTGGGGTTGGGGGCCGTTTTCTAGATAGAAAGCAGAGTAAGTGCAGCGAGCAGTTCAGGGTTGAAAGGACAAGAACTATGACCCTAGAAGGGAAAATACCTGTCTAGGGAGTATGCGAGGGGTAGCCAGGGGGTTGGGGAAGACACCAGGGACTGTATCCTGTGGTCGCCTCCTAATGTGAGCTAGCTGATGCTGCTCTGCTGCCTTCATCTGGAAAACGAGCAGAAAATACCCCACTTGGAGTTTCCCACAGAACTGAAGGTGCTACAGGGACCTGGCCTTCAGGGCAAGCATGTGCAAGGTCCTAGAAGTTCCCTGGCTCACAGGAAACCCTTTAAGACCTAGCCTCAGGAGATGCTTTATTCCCCAATGAACCTGCCCCAATCCTTCCTCCTCCTGGCCTTCTGAGCTGTAACTAAGAAAGGTTTGTTCCCGCTAAGAGTTCTAAAGTGACCAGGGAGGCCCACCCACTTGCTAAGTGATTTAGCAGGTCCCTAGCCTTCAAATCTTCTGTGTTCTAACTGAGGAGTAACCCCCGAAGAAAAGCACTCCAGCCGGGTGGTGGTGGCACACGCCTTTAATCCCAGCAGATCTCTGTGAGTTCGAGGCCAGCCTGGTCTACAAGAACTAGTTCCAGGACAGCTAGGGCTGTTACACAGAGAAACTCTGTCTCAAGAAGAGAAGAGAAAAGAAAAGAAGAGAAGAGAAGAGAGGAGAGGAGAGGAGAGGAGAGGAGAGGAGAGGAGAGGAGAGGAGAGGAGAAGAGAAGAGAAGAGAAGAGAAAATCCCTCCAGGATACAAAAGACTGGTGGCTGCGATGTCCAAACTGCGCTATGTTCTGATGCTGTGATGCTGTCTGAAGTGGGGACCCGGTTAGGGTGGTGGTCTCTCGGGCAATAACTTCAGGGAAACCTATCTTAGGAGTCCTAATCCACCTCAGCTTCTTCTGCTGTCCAGGTGGGAAAGAGGCTGCCTAGCTGGAAGAGCCATGCTAGAGATCTGGACAGGTGATTGAGGTAGACATCTTAGGAAGGTGACATTTGAACAAAAGTTCAACAAGGGTCAGCAAGCAGCGAGGCAGATACATGACTGGGGTGAGACTAAGGAACAGTGAGTACCTTGAGGTGGAGCATGAATCTGTTAGCTGGGGGCAGTGAAGAGGCCGGCTGGCTGGAGTCGCAGGAGCTTAGGAGGGGATAGTGGGGGAGGAAGGTGCCAGATAACAAAGGGCTGGGGGTCTCCTCCGCTAAAAGTGATGGGAGTCTCATTATGACAATAGACCTTGTCTGGTTTTACTTGGATCACCTGGCTGCTGTGTTGAGCCACTGTCAGGGAAGCAAGAATAGGGGAGAAAGACAAGCAGGAGGCTGTTAGAGTAGCCCAGGCCAGTGATGACTGTGGCTCAGCATGGTCAGACAGAGGGAAAGGAAGGGAAAGCCCGTGGCGTCTGCTCTGAGTGGTACGTGCAACTGCATCCGTGTTTTGGATCCTGGCCTAGATGACGGCAGAATGGAGTCACCAGCTATGTAGACAGGGAGACAAAAGGAGGCACCGGTCTGGGGCCTCCAATCAGGAGTTCTACCAGCTATTCAGTAGAAAGACAGCAAGCGTGAAGGCGTGAAGGCAATCGATGAAAGAGGCTGGAGTTACGGCTGTGACTCAGGCTGGAGATAACATCGGGAGGTGTGGTGTGTGCGTAGAGATGTTGCTTGGAGCCACAAGACTGGATGAGATCACCTAGGGTGTGAGTGTAGGCAGAGGAAAGGGCAAGGATGGAGCCGAGGGGCATGGTTCAGAGGCTGGGAAGAACAGGACCCAGCAAAGCCAGGGAGGAATGGAAGGAAAGCCAGGAGAGTGTGTAATCCAGGGAGCCCAGTCAGGGAAGCCCTTCTGGCAAAGAAGGGCCACCAGCTAGAGAACAAAGCAAGGACTGATGGCGATCTTCATGTGTGGCCCTCAGAAGAGCAGATATCAAAGTGTCTCTCAGATACGTTATTTTTAAAAGGAAAAAACACCTGGGTAGTGGTGGCGCACGCCTTTATTCCCAGCACTTAGGAGGCTGAGGCAGACTCTGTGAGTTCAAGGCCAGCCTGGTCTACAAGAGCTAGTTCCGGACAGGCACCAAAGCTACAGAGAAACAAGAAAAAAAAATCAAAACAAGAGAAAAGAGAAAAGAAAAGCCGTTTAAGTGTAACAGAGTCTGTAATAGACTACCTTTGTGTTGGGAAACATGAGGTAAAGAATCTAAGGAGACAGCACCATCGTGGAGGGCTTGCCTCGCAAGCGTGAGAAGCTGAGTTCGACTCCCAGCACCCGCATGAAAAGCCAGAGGTGGTGGAACACACGTGTAATCCCAAAACCGGGGAGGCAGAGGTGAGTGGTACCTGGGGTCACTGGCAAGCCAGCCTATCCTAACTTGAGAGCTCTGGGTTGATAAAAGACCCTATCTCAAAGATTTTGGATGGTGTTTCTGAAGATAACTCCCAAGACCGTTCAGTGGCCTCCAAGCGCGTGTGTGCATGCACACATACATACACATACACACACACCTGCACACATAAACCATGAACACACATTTTAAAAAAAGGTCAGGGAAGCATGAACCCTACTACTTTCATGTGAACAGAGATCATTTCATTCTGAAAAGATACATAAGAATACAGATTGGAGGGAGAGGTGCCTCATTTTTCACTGCATATTTATTGAACAAATAAAATATTTTGGATTTCTAGGAAGATGACTCAACGGGTAAAGTGCTTGGCTTGAAGCATGAGGACTTGAGTTCAGATGTCAAATACCCATAAGAGACCTGGGGGTGGCAAGGGACGTCTGTAACCCCAGCTCTGTGGTAAAGACTGAAGGAGACCTAGAGTTTGATTGACAGCCAGCCTAGCCAATTGGTGAGTTGGTGAGCTCCAGTTCAGTAAAGAGGAGAGAGAGAGAGAGAGAGAGAGAGAGAGAGAGAGAGAGAGAGAGAGAGAGAGAGAGAGAGAGAGAGAGAGAGAGAGAGAGAGAGAGAGAGA